TTCTCTGAATGATATTATTTTGAAGACTGATTTGGATGTTTTTAACATAAGTTTGGATAGATTCAAAAGAATTTTAAAGTCGATCCTAAAATGATCGTTTTTTCTATTTGTATTCAATTTTAAGCGTATTATGTTGTTTATGTTTTACGAAAGCGTAGAGCTGCCATGCTAATATTAAAAAATATTTTTATAAAAATTTACAGTTTTTCTGTAAATTTACACTTTTTCTGTAAATTTACACTTTTTCTGTAAATTTACACTTTTTCTGTAAATTTACACTTTTTCTGTAAATTTACACTTTTTCTGTAAGTTTACACTTTTTCTGTAAATTCAGTTAATAGTAAGGGTTAGTTTGGGTTAGCTCGCAATTTTAATCAGAGATCACCAAACTTACCGATAATAACCCGGTGAGTTTGCAGTTTTAACATTAATAAACTTTCAACGATAATAACCCGGTTAGTTTGGCTTAGTTTGCGATTTTAATCAAAGATTACCATTATGTTTTCCAAATTATTGATTTTCGAATTATTAATTTTCGAAAAATATATTTTCAAAATTATTGAATTTTGAAAGAAAAAAATTCGAAATAAGCGTTTTCGAAAAGGTTTATTTTCGAAATAACAGCATTCGGCAAAAAATCGAAATTTGTATTCTCGAAAATTGAACATGCATACAGGACTGATAAAAATTGCAAACTTATCCGAACTAATCAGATTATTGTTATTGTTGTTGGTAATGTCAGACTCTAAATTGCAAAATAACCCAAACTAATCAGGTTATTATCGGTAAGTTTGGAAATGTTTAATTAAAATTGCAAAGTTACCAAAACTTACCGGGTTATTATCGGTAAATTTGGTAATGCCTTCTTAAAACTGCCAACTAACACAAACTACCCAGGTTATGATTGGTAAGTTTGGTAATGCATTTTTAAAACTGTAAACTAATGGGGTTATTATCCGCGAGTTGTCAGTAACCCAAACCAACCCAAACTAACCAGGTTGTTATTGGTAAGATTGGATATATGCCTGATTAAAATTACAAACTAACTTAAACTAACCGGGTTATTATCGGTAAGTCTGTAATGTCCGTCGTTTTTAATCTGACACTTTCCGTATGAAGAGCGAGGAGGTGAAGATTATAGCAAAAACAGGTGTAACGTCAGGTGACCATTGGCGTTCTAATGTAGGGAGCCACCAGCTCAATTCTTGTCATTGTGTGTTTATTAATGTGTCCAGCCTGGATTTAACTTCGATTGGTGGACATTCTTGGTAGGCGGAAATAATTGACCATATTAGTTAGGTTAGGAAAAATCGGGCGCGAAATTTAAAATGGGTTCCTAAACACATTTCAACAAATTTGACAGCAATGTATTTCTTATGGGGGATTCAAAAGAGTGATTTTCAGACGGGAATATCTTGGGTTCTGGGCATTTCTTAGTATTGGAACCTATTGTACATCAAACTTTGAACATATTTCTCTATAATTCATGCTCTAATTGTTTCTTTAGACCTATGAATTAAAAATACAAATGATTTTAATTAAAAGTGTCTGTTTTCGGTGGACGTACGTCGGGTCTAAAACCAGCTGAGAGAAAGTGAGGTTGTGTGTTGTGTTATGATTGTTGGTGAATTGTTTATTTTTATTTATTTATCACTAGTTCAGTCATTTATTTTTCAATTTTTTTGGATTATTGAAGTACATTTACTAACCAAGTATGTAGGTAAACTTTTATTTTATTATAATTAGGTACTCATATATACTTATGGATCAAGCAACGACATACGTATTTTATACAAACATCGGCTTCTTAAATTGGTAATATTTTTATTTTAACAATGTTTATTCAACTTTCAAACACTCTCTCAGTTAATTAACATATTAAAAAAACTATTTATACAACTCAATTCCGTAACAAACGTTCGATTACGTCTACAGACGCTTTTAAAATTGAGTCCCCATAAGACATCAATGTATTAATTTTTGAACTAGGAACCCGCGCCAATTTGCGATTCTAACCTAACTAATATGATGAATTCCTCAAAATTATAGAAATCTTTTCATACTTTTCAATTCCTATTTAAGAGCAAGCAAGCCAGTTGAATTTTAACAATCTTCCAAATAATGTTTTATTTTGATCAAATTTGTGTCCCCTTACTGTTTCGATATATTAAATTTTGTGTCAAAGAGTTTGTGGTTTGTGTTTATTTAAAAAATTTGTGGAATAAAGTACCTATATAACCTCATACATTTTGGTGATTTTATTTTAATTAAAAACTGTTCTGACAGAGCCAGCTATAGAACAAGTTTCATAAGACGCAATTTGATATCAAATGTCTTATGAAGCATGTTTTTTGTACTATTTTTTCTATTTCAACTTGTAAATAAAGGTTGAGCTCAACCTCAGGCTCAACGTAAAATCTGACGTCTTAATTACATCTGGTCAAGCTTGTGATAACGGTTGAGTTCAACGTGAAATCTGACGTCTCGAATACATCTGATCAACGTTGTTATAAGATTGAGGCAAACAAAAAAAACGACGTTAATTCAACGGTCACATTCAACGTTGTCTCAATTATGACATTGTGCCGTCCTGTCAACGTACATTCAACTGTTGTTACAACGTAATGCAACGTTAGGAAGTATCGTAAATTCAACGTTATATCGACCATACCTTGCTGCATCGGACATTAGAACGCCAATGGTCACCTGACGTTACACCTGTTTTTGCTATAATCTTCACCTCCTCGCTCTTCATACGGAAAGTGTCAGATTAAAAACGACGGACATTACAGACTTACCGATAATAACCCGGTTAGTTTAAGTTAGTTTGTAATTTTAATCAGGCATATATCCAATCTTACCAATAACAACCTGGTTAGTTTGGGTTACTGACAACTCGCGGATAATAACCCCATTAGTTTACAGTTTTAAAAATGCATTACCAAACTTACCAATCATAACCTGGGTAGTTTGTGTTAGTTGGCAGTTTTAAGAAGGCATTACCAAATTTACCGATAATAACCCGGTAAGTTTTGGTAACTTTGCAATTTTAATTAAACATTTCCAAACTTACCGATAATAACCTGATTAGTTTGGGTTATTTTGCAATTTAGAGTCTGACATTACCAACAACAATAACAATAATCTGATTAGTTCGGATAAGTTTGCAATTTTTATCAGTCCTGTATGCATGTTCAATTTTCGAGAATACAAATTTCGATTTTTTGCCGAATGCTGTTATTTCGAAAATAAACCTTTTCGAAAACGCTTATTTCGAATTTTTTTCTTTCAAAATTCAATAATTTTGAAAATATATTTTTCGAAAATTAATAACCACGAAAATCAATAAATTGGAAAACATAATGGTAATGTTTGATTAAAATCGCAAACTAAGCCAAACTAACCGGGTTATTATCGTTGAAAGTTTATTAATGTTAAAACTGCAAACTCACCGGGTTATTATCGGTAAGTTTGGTGATCTCTGATTAAAATTGCGAGCTAACCCAAACTAACCCTTACTATTAACTGAATTTACAGAAAAAGTGTAAACTTACAGAAAAAGTGTAAATTTACAGAAAAAGTGTAAATTTACAGAAAAAGTGTAAATTTACAGAAAAAGTGTAAATTTACAGAAAAAGTGTAAATTTACAGAAAAAGTGTAAATTTACAGAAAAACTGTAAATTTTTATAAAAATATTTTTTAATATTAGCATGGCAGCTCTACGCTTTCGTAATGTTTTGATACCTACTACAAAATATTTGTTTAGGCTTATGTAATATTGTTTTTTTATACTAACTTGTCTGTTGCCTACTTGTTATTCCAAATATTTATTATTGCGTGTACCTACACTTTAAGTCTACCTTTGTAAAAATGGCATGTCCGTAAATAAAGAATTTAACCCAAAATAACCCGAACTAACCGAAACTAACCCGAACTAATCCAAACTAACGTCTAAAATTAGCACTAAATGTGTGCTAATTTAGTACTCTAGTTTCATCGCGTCATCGGTGACAATGTTTGTTAACTTAAACACTAAGCCAGCACACAAGTGCTAACTCTGTGCTGATGTGATACTAATTCGTTTCGGGTCGTCGTTTCTGAAGTACTAAATTAGCACTAAATATGCGCATGCGAATTCCGTTCTCGCGCGGTCGATTCGATGTATGTGTGCTAATTCAAGTCTTGAGTTAGCACTTTTCCGTGGTTATTTCGTAATAAATACATCATTGTTAGTTTTTTAGGCGTGCCATGAATGTACCAAATTAGCACTAAATATGAGGTTCTAGATTTTCAAAGATTCGACCTTATCCAACTAGAGTGTGCCAGCTTAATCTTAAGCTGGCACACATGCACGTAATTTTTTAAAAAATAGAGTTATAAACTTTTTTTTTTGTACTAAATTAGCACTAAATAGGCCCGAATTTAGTACTTTTTTTAGTAGTTTTTCTGATGTGTGATATTTTCGTTGTGCTAATTTAAGGAACCAGAATCTACTGCTAGTCCTACTTGAGAGAGTGTAATTTGTGCGCCCCGAATGTCATCATGTTCATCAGCAGCCCTGACAGAGGGCATATTTGAGGGCTTATCTTGCTATTCCTTATGTAGTAAGTCTATAATTTTGGTTTTATCTGAAATTATTGTGATTTTATCTGCTATGGTAGATTTGAGCAACTGAATTTCTTCTTCCATAAGTCGGATTTTTTCAGCATGGTATTTGCTTTGTTTCGACAATTTGGGCGACATATAAAAAGTACCTGTTTCTTGAGTGGAGTTACTCTGACTTCAGTAACACTTAAAGGAAAACAGCTCCCACAGTAATCCAGATTGCATATGTCACATTTACCAATATTATTCCCATCGTTGTGGTCGGAAATATTCAATTTGCATTGAGCACAAGTGTTCATTGTCTATAGGTTAGAAAGACAATTTGTATTGCACAATCACACAAAAAAAACAATTAAAGGGCAAACCAACTAATAAAGTTGTTGTTGTTTTTTAGGAATGCAGACCTCTAGCAGTATCAATGACAAATGCCTTAAGATCTTTCAAGCAACAACTCAGACATATAGAAACGATTGAAACTGGTCTAAATGACAACGATAAGAGAACCAGATTAATTGATGTCATAGATACTTACATAAGAAACGATATGAGAAGAGCTTGGGATGCTATATCTATTAAGGTTAATGCAAAAATTGTTGATGGCGATATTATTTTAATTTATGGATGGTAAGCAATGCCAAACTTAAAGAAACAAATTAATTATATTACCGATTTCCTTTCTCCAGCTCTTCTTTGGTAAGACAAATACTCTTAGAAGCCAACAAGGACGGCAAAAAATTCTCAGTCATAATCGTTGACAGCAGGCCTCTTTTAGAAGGTAGAGAAATGCTTAGAAGACTGATTAGTGCCGGAATTAAATGCAGCTATGTTCTTATTAATGGGCTCAGTTGTGTAATGAAGCAAGCGAGTAAAGTTTTATTAGGTGCTCACGCTTTGCTGACCAATGGAAGTGTCATGTCCAGAATAGGAACTGCCCAAGTTGCTTTAGTAGCACAAGCTTATAATAAACCTGTACTGGTTTGTTGTGAAACATATAAATTTAGTGAACGTGTCCAAACTGATTCATTTGTTTTTAATGAAATAGGTAAGAAGGAAGTAGTTATTATTTTAGTGATTTTTACGTAAATATTTGTTTAGGAGACTCCAACCTACTTCTGTCAGCAGATACTTCAAGCAGCTCAAGTCCCTTGGTGTATCAAAAAGATAATCCAAAATTAAACATATTAAATTTATTATATGATGTGACACCTCCAGATTTAGTAACTGCTGTGGTTACAGAACTAGCGATATTACCTTGTACTAGTGTGCCCGTTGTACTGAGGATAAATGCTGGTGAAAGTAATGTATAGCATCAGTTATAACAATTGCTTCACATTATTTTCGCCTAATATATATTTTTGTTGATAATAAAATCAGGTTAATGTTTTATATCCAGAAGAAAGATTAAATTAATTTTTTTTAAAAATTTGTCGGTGTTTACTTAGGCCTCGACTTAGACCCAATAAGAACTTTTAATGGAAGTATGTATTTATATGAACACTAGAAATGGCGAAGTAATGATGGTTGACATTTTTCTAGTTGAGAGATAAAAGGCTAGGCTAGAAATACATGAAACTTTATTTGATCTTAAGCACAAAAATGTAGCTCATTCTCGACAATTTGATATCGATTTCCATCGTCAACAAAAACCGCCATAGAAAAACATTTGAAAAGGCAATTTGTTTTTTTTTTATTGCGGTCGCATTGGTATTAGTTTGATGGGTTATTAGCTTCTTCTTGATAAGCCCTATTTGATTTTCCATCAATTTTCGGTAAATAAATCTCATGCTTAGCCTTTTCAACTGATTTAGTATTAAAGTCGTCCCACGGTTGCCTCTCTCCAGAGCAGAAGATTTGGAAAAAAGCGCCCGTAGATAACATCACACAGGTGGCTAGTATAAAAGTGTGCCTCCACTCAGATTTGTTAGTCTTAAAAACAACAATTATTATCATAGAAACAATCTACAAAGGAAATACCTACCTGATCCGGAACCATAAAATGCACCAGCAGCGGAGCCAAGATGGCCACCAACTGACCCAAACCGTTCGAAATGCCAGAAAGCGCACTGGCAAATCTGGGAGACAAGTCGATGGGGTTCACCAAGTGCGCGCAAACTATAGCTGAATTAGCTATATACGCTGTTATCAAAATAGCAGCTATAGCTGTTTTATTTTCTATATACGAGAGCGCCAAAAGGGCCACTGGAGTCGTCATGCTGATTGCGTAGAAAATTCTTCTAGAATTTCCAGTGCTTACCCAATCTTTTTTGGCTATTAGCGATGCTATAGGGCCGAAGCACAGGGAACCTATTAGGCCTGCGATTTGAGGGACTGATGAAAACAAACTGGACTGGAAAAAAAAAATTAAAGTATATCAAAACAACTATACAAGTAAGTAGTAGAAGTTGGTAATAGATTTATATCTGTCAAAAAAGGGAAAATCTATAGCTGCTTACGAACAAGCACTTTTCTTACCTAAGTTCTTAATGTTAGCTTTTAAGTTGTTTGATCGTATGCGCAATTCTAATAAGCTGATCAAAATATACCTACGTTGAAATATGAAAGTGGTCAAATTTGCTACAACTTAAGATATCTAAAGTCGAAAGGCGAAGAGGGAAGTTAAGATCACAGATATTAAGATTTTAACTTAGTTGTGTCAAATCGTACGTGCAACTCAGTTCCTTTCCTTGAAGTTAGGTCAGAAAATGCTTGGTTCCAAACCAATGGTTCGTAAGCAGCTTATATTGATGATCTGATTAGCAAATTGTTTGATGATAACATTTTTAGCTCGATAAGCAATAATAATCAAATGCGGTCAGTTTGCATAGAGGTGCAGTGAGTTAGTAGAAGTGATATGTGAGGCATGCAGACGTTTTTAATTAGAGATGTCACGAATAGTGATTTGGCCGAATCCCGAATATTCAGCTACGCTCTCGTTTGCAGTGCCGAATATTCGGCGGCAGATCTGTGGGTTTTGTGCGTTAACAACAGATCAGGACCTGTCTCATTCTCATCGTGTCGCCTCCGGTAAACCAATTTTCCAAAACCGAAGTGTGTGGTAGAAAATCGTCGTCTTTTTCTACCACACACCGGTTTTGGAACGACGTGTTTCATCGCGACGATGAAAACCGTCGTGGTTCATCGTAGTGTGTGGGGCCCTTAACGACGGAATTTGGTTCACTTGAGAATATATCGTGTCACAATACGCATTATTATCTATATTCTTTTAATCGCGCGTTATTACTTAAAATGTGACAACTGAGTGAACCTTGGTAACGTATGAAGTAGCAGAGGACGACGTGACGACCCGCGTATATGTATATTTCTAATCTCGGGCCAATCAGGAGGGTTTTGCCCGCAGTCCTTCCACACAGGTTCACTCACTTGTCACTTGTCGCACTTTATACTACTGTTTATCTTTAGCCAAAAGTTATCAAAATGGCACCAGTAATTAATAAAAAGTTTGATAGATTTTAAGTATTAAATTCATTGTGACTTGTTATCAAATAGATACCTACATTTTTTTTCATTATTCAGCTTTCGGTATTCGGCCAAATATTCGGCCGGATAATACTATCCGCCCTCCTGAATATGAAAATTGCATTGTTTTTCTTTTCAATCCGATTACATGCGGTCATTACAGTGAAGGTGCGCTTATCCCAAAAATTAGTTTTAAAACCTAACCGCAGTCATTGCGGCCCCCTATAGTACTATAAATACGTCTATTATTACACACAGCGTCAAAAATCTTGAATCCCCTGTATAAAACCAAACTTATAAGACCTTTATCAAAATATTTTTTGGTTAGAAATAATCTCGTATAAAATGTTGTTTTTTATCGAAAATGAAAAACGCCAAAAAACCTTATCTCTTGACTCTTTCAACTATAGCATTTGTTTAAAATTGTCAGTTTCTTGTAAATATCGAAAAGTATAAGTTGCTCTCAATTGTTCAAAAATGTAGTACGGGAGCTGGCGACACTTTTCATTGTCCCATTTCATAAAACTTCATTTATCTTTTATTTTGTAGTATTGATATCAATGATCAAGAAAATGAACTCCTGCCACCTTGTTAGCGGGACAACGGTTGACTGCGGTATGCCAAACATGTTGAAAAAAAAGTCCAAATGTTTAAAATAATAAAAGTTGAAACTTTACCAATTTTCTAATAACATTTAAATAAGACATGAAACGACCTCCTGCCTCCTGTTATTAATTAATATAAATTATAAAAGTTGAATTTTTTTCTAGCATTTCATTAATAATTACGATAACTGAAAAATGTATCCTGCCAGTCATTTGATGGGACCTGGCTTCGGCAGGAGTTAGTGAAGTAATAGGGTGTTGACATAATTACAGAAACAAATTTGTTTCAACACGTTAGATTCTTTTTTATTTATTTAAGCGCAAAAAATATGTAATATCGAAAAGTTTACAGACACGTATCTTCGTTAATATATTCGTAGACAGTTTCCACAAAAGTGGATAAATCTTTGGTTAGTTCATTGATCACAGTACCGAGCGAACTGAACTAGAACTGAACATCAGCACATGAGTCATTCATATGGAATCTTAAAATGCCCAAGCATCTGCCTCACATCAGGTTTTTATTGTGTATAAAAGACGTCCAGGTAAGACCCTTTCCAAGGTGCTCATTTGCTCTATGTATGTTATCACTTAATATCTACCGCATTGAGAACCTTTGGATTTGGAAGCCTAGAAATAGTGGATATACAGTGTGTCCAAGATAAGGATGAGATAGCATTAGGATCTGGGGAACGGTTGGAGTAACAATGTTGGTTAGATTAGGAAAAGGTTACGCAATTTAACGCTCAATAAAATGCTACTTTGACATTTGAAAAATTCCGAACATTTTCCGAGATATCCGGAATAGCTATTTTCCTAACGAGTGCGGGAAGAGAAATTTCCCGCTTTAGTTAGTTAGGGACTATATTTTTTCTGCGAGCATACTAAAGCTGATGTTACGAAGAGTTTAATTTAAATAAAATGCGATTATGCAGAAGGTAGAATTAAAAATGTATTAAAAGGTATTTAAAAAGGTAAAAGTACAGGTATAGGTGTATCAACAATACAAACAATTCCATGTCACAATGATTATTTCAAACTCTTCCCGCACTGAGTGCCGGAAGAAATCTCTTCCCGCACAGCAAATCGTGCAGGAAGAGCCATTTCCCGCACGCTCGTAGAAAAAAACCCAAAACTTCACAAAATCGATTCTATTTTTTCCTGAGCTTATTTGAGGAGATATTTCAAAATAAATGTCACTTAATCGTGAATACTTTTTCTACTCTACAAGACATTATCAATTTTAAAATTTGACGTTTCGTCTTCAGGCCACTCTACTACTCTCGGCATTTTAAGTCACTCTGCCCAACTAAAAATCAGACACCTCAGTGATTTAAAATAGTTTTGACTTACTCTCGGTATTTTTCCTTGAACTTTATTTTTCAAATTTCCACAAAATGGGATAAAATTTTGTATACATCACGTGAGTTAAAATCTTTATTCATTCAAAGAAAATTTCTTCTCATGAATAAACATTCATTCAACTCACTTGGTGTATAAATAACTATTAAATACGGACCCTTATTTTTTATTTCAGATTTTATATAAGCTTCTGATGTCCCAAAACCAATGACGTATTGCACTTATTCGATTTTTTTATTTTTTTCGAATAAATGCCATACGTCATAGGTTTTGGGATATCACAAGCTCTTAAAATCTGAAATAAAAAATCAAAGGCTGTATTTAAAAAAAAATGAAGTTGATGATGGTGACCCAAAGACGAAATGTCAGAATTTAAATTTGAAAATGTCATCTTGTAGAGTAGACAAAGTTGTTACCACAGCTTTTTACGATGAAGTGAAATATTTTGAAATGTCTCCTCAAATAAGCTCAGGAAAAAATAAAATCGATTTTGCAAAATTTTTTCCGGATATTTTTGAAAGTATTCGGAATTTTTCAAATGTCAAGATACCATTTTATTGAGCATCAAATTGCGCAACTTTTTTCTAATCTAACCAACATTGTAACTCCAACCATTCCCTAGATCCTAATGCTATGCCATCCTTATTTTGGACACACTGTATAATGTGTTTCCGCTCAACAATTTTGTTCCTGCCGAAGCCAGGTCCCATCAAATGACTGGCAGGATATATTTTTTAGTAATCCTAATTATTAGTGAAATGCTAAAAAAAACTTATAATTTATATCAATTGATAATTTTTTTTTACATAAATAATATTTTTCTACTGACGTTTCATAATAGCAACTTTTCGATTGTCATTTTAGTTTTAAAACGACATTCTTTTAAGCACTAAGTGCGTAAAAGTTACTTTTAAGCACTCAGTGCGTAAAAGTGACTTTTGAATGCGTAAAAGTGACTTTTGAGTGCGTAAAAGTAATTTTTAAGCACTAGTGCCTAAAAGTGTCATTCATCATTCAGAAATAAAAAACACACTAAACACAGATTTGAGTTTTGTTTTGTATTTATTATGAATATTAAAAATGTAATTATTGAATTGAACGTTTGGGTTACTCAAAACAGAACTTTGTGTTGTTACCTGCTTTCTGGGATTTTAATTATTGATATCAAATCTTGAAAAAAAAATCGCATGAAAAGTGTCAGGGGTCAAGCAAAAGCAGGTAACAAAGATTTTGGGCGTAATCGACTTATTCACATGAAATAAAATTGTGTTTTTTTATTATAAAATGCCAGTAGAAAAAATCTTGTATACAATACGTTACGAAACGATTTCTTTTAGTCACTCGACGTGTTGTCCAACTCGGCTTTGCCTCGTTGGACAATTTTCACGTCGCGTGCCTAAAAGACGCTCATTTCGTAACTTATTGTATAAATAGCTATTATGTTTGTTTTAAATGTTATTAAAAAATTGATAAAGTTTCAACTTTTATTATTTTCAACAATTAAACTTTTTTTTTGACGTAATTAACATATCGCGATCAATCTGGTACTCCTGCAGGAATCGATTTTAGTTTTCTATAGCTCCGAGATGATTCAAAAAAAGTAAAACTAATCGTTATGAAATCACACAAAATTTAGTGTCGCCAGCTCCCGTACTAATGCCTGGACATCGAATTTCCGGTTTTGATAGAGCCAGAATAATCGCTCAGAGGACGAGCTGACTACTTAGAATAGTAGCCGTAATCACAGAAACTGGCTTTTACCTCAATGGAGAAATGTCCTTTTTTTCTGACGAGTCCCGATTTGGACTGGCAAGTGACAGCCGCCGTGTAAGGGAGGCCGCACATCAAAGAAACATGAAACGTGAAACATGAAACATAAAACGTGAAACACGTTTCATGAAAA